TTTTTTTTTTCTTTGATACAAAAAACCGATGAACCTTTCTCTCTTTTCAAGTTTTTTTAACAACTGTACCGCACTGATAAAGCAACCGGGCTCAACTTTCCTCATCCTACTCGTTTCCTTTTTTTTCTTTTTTCTTCTTTTTCTTCTTCTTATCCTTTCTGCACCGCTATATTTTGCTCTTCACTGATGACTGAGCAAACAACCGGGGTGTCTTCTGCTTGCTTAAAATATAGTTCAACTTTTTTTAAATTCCAATTTCTCTACCTTTTTCATTTCTTGCTCTCAAAAAAGAATGCCTCTTTTTTGAGAAAAGGAACAAAAGAAAATTTTGGAAGTAAAGCAAAAAAAAAAGTTTTTATGATTTTTAAGACAAAAACAAAAAAAGCCATCTGTTAAAATTTAATAGGCTTGAAATCTGACAATAAAATAAACTGTTTCGCTTTTTTTGAATGTTGTTTGGCTACGAAAACAGCCCACTAATAAGATAAATTTTTCCTGAAACCGACTTCTCTATCCTCTAAAAAAATTCTTTGTACCAAAAAATATGCCTGGGATTTCTTTTGCGTCTTCTTCTTCATCATCGTCATCTTTTCGTTCTTGTTCTTTATCATCTTCTTCTTCTATGTTCATTGCAATTTTATACCAACAAATCAACCAAATAATCATCAACACAGCTCTTGCAGAGCTATAATTTGAACTTGCCAAACTGAAGTTCTAGCTTGCAAGCAATCAAGCTAGTTAGCTAGCCAGTTAACCAACAAAATTAGTTTGCTAGTTAGACCGCTTGTAACCAAATGTTTTTCTTTTTTTTTTCTGGGGGGGGGGGGTAAAAAGAAAGGAGGGTTCTTGTTACCCAAAGGTTTCTTTTTTTTTTTTTTTCAAAAAAGAAATTATTTTTCTTTGCCTTTGTTTTGGTTTTCTTTTTTTATTTTTTCGCCTACCCCGAGAGTGCTCAGGCTTGTTTATTCATTTCTGATTTTGCTAAGATAACACTTCAGTTTTCGTTGCACTGACTTCCCGAAGACTTCAGCAGTGGCTGTTGTTTTAGCAGGCTTATCCAACGAATTCGATTATCTGTCCAATTATCCTTCGACAACTACAACTCCCACTACTACTACTACTGCCACTACCATTACTCAGTATAATCGCCATCGATCGGATTCAGCTTATCCAGATTCATCTTCTTTGAACTCTTGGGTAAATATTGAACAAAAAAAAGTAAAAAACAAAAAAAGAAAAGCAAAAAAAAAGAAAAGAAGAACAAAAAAAAAAGTTACTATTTTTTTGTATTTAATATACTCTTTTCCATTTGCGTTTCGTATTTGCGGCAACAACAGCATCAATAACAGTAAGGAAATAAATAATGCTTATTAAATAGTTCGTTCAATTTTGAATACAGTCTTGTTCTTGTTTTGTTTTTCTACACAACAGCTTTTTTTCCTTTCGATACTGCTAATAAGTGCTATATGTATCACTGATGACGTCAGCAGAAGTGAAGCATTAGTTCGGTTTTCTTTTTTTTTTTTTTATTGTTTTACTGTTTAACCCTATTTTACATTTGATATATAATATGTTTACGGTACGGAATATGTATCTTTCATAAAGCATTTGATTCCGGGCAAATGTTTGTTGTAGATGACGAAAATTATTTTTTTTTACACAGTACAATGTTGCTTACTATTTGCAGGATATATACAATCTTTATTCATCAGACGATCCGCGATCTTCGTACACCACATATTATCAAAAAGATAATCATTTAAATTCCCCAAATCAAGACGAAAAATTAAGTGATCATCATCGTCTGCAACAACATCAACATCTAACTGTGCCGGAAACTCGTACGTTCAACCAAAACAGACGTATTGGTGGAGGTGGTGGTGCTCGTAACAAAAGAAGTTCTAGTTCTAGGGACAACAACAGCAGTAGCAGCAGTAACTCTTCATCGTTTTATGATAAAGATTCTTTTTGGTATCGACCAAATCAGCTAGTTCAAAAACTGGACGAAGATCAGTATAAATTAGCTGCTGAAGACACTGATAATTTTGCAGAAGGTCACGGAAAACAAAAGTAAGTTTTAGTTTTCTTTTGGACACAGTCTTCTGTTGTTTTTTCTTTTGTTCTCAAATGTAGCTCTTTTATTCTTGAAAAAAAAAAAGCCCCTGGCTATAGGATAAAAAAAGAAAGATCTTTACGCAACGTTTACGCCCTGACTTTTTTCTGC